TCATCTCTAAAGTGGGGATGATATCGGTGCCTACTTCATAAGTAGTTCTGAAGAATGAAAGAGCTAATATGGGTAAAGTACTCACAATCTCGGCTGGCACACAGGACCCTCCCCTATCACTGTCACTTCACCCTATCCACCCTCTTCTCCTGCTTGGACTATCACAGCAGCCTCCCCACAGTCTCCCTGTCTCCACCCTCCACAATCCGCTCCTCACACAGCAGCCTGAGTGATCTTTATAAAAGGGAAACCAGATGTTGCTACAGCCCTCCAACAACTTCCCATTACACACAGAATGAAATACAGACTCCTTACCTCAGTCCGTCAGCCTCTGCTCTGTCTGCCACATCCTCCCATCTCCCCGACGTCATCCCATACTCAGCCACACTGACCTCTCTGATGGTCCTTGAGCATTCCAAGCTCACCTGAACCTCAGGGCACTGGCACTTTATGTACCCACTACCTGTTATATTCTTTCTACCTCCTTTCTAAGACTGGCTCACTCTTTTTCATCAACCAGATGTCCCCTTCTCCAGAAAGCCCTCAGTGATTCCCCAGGCTTGGTCAGGTGCTTCCTCTGGATTCCTACAGTCCCTGTGCTTCCCCATCCCACCCTGACCCCTCTGCCTGTGCCTCCCCATCCCACCCTGAACCCTCTGCCTGTGCCTCCCCATCCCATCCCTGACCCCTCTGCCTGGGCCTCCTCATCCCATCCCTGACCCCTCTGCCTGTGCCTCTCCATCCCATCCCTGACCCCTCTGCCTGTGCCTCCCCATCCCATCCCTGACCCCTCTGCCTGGGCCTCCCCATCCCAGCCCTGACGCCCGTGCCTGTGCCTCCCCCATCCTGGCCCTGACCTCCTGGGCTGTCACTGTCTAGGTACAGCAGGTCTGTCTCCTTCATTGTACCACAATCCATTGTACCACAGGCTGGAGCTGTGTTGGTCATCACTGGGACCAACCACCAGACATACACAAAGAGTGTAACAAGACTTCATTCATCCCTATGCAACCTTCACTTCCTTACTCCTCGACTCCTTCCTGAAGAGATTCAAGTCAGTCCAGTTCCCTTTCCCAATTGTCAGCCCTGGGAACTGCCCCCCAAGGAGAGTTGGATCAAAACTGTGATCACTGTTCTGGATGCTCTGGAAGGTAAAGGTCAAAACTCCCCCCATATGCCTCCTCCTCTGAGTGTGGGGGCTCGGTGGGTATCAGGCCCAGCTAAGCCAGTCATGGGAACCATCTCCCTGACGGTTCCCAACTAGTCTGGTGGGGCGGGGGTGGGGAGGACCATAAAATCTATCATCTCGGGCTGAGTAAATCGTTTCAGTGAGGACCACAAACCATCACACAGCAGGATGTGCAGCAAAGGGAACCGTCAAGCACTGGCGGGAAGCACACTGAGACAATCACTTAGAAGAGCAATTTGGCAACATCCAGGTAAGGTGGAAGGTCCAGCATTTCCACTGCAAGGCATATGTGCAAGAGAGCCTCTGGCCACAGTGTACAAGGAATCATGCTCTAGAATGTTCATCACAGCACAGTTATAGCCCCAGCTGGAAACCACCTAAATGGTCATCAAAAGATGAATGAATAACTCCTGTATGACACAATCGCAAAAAGAAATACTCAAGGGGAGGGAAAATGAACAACCTGTCCTAGACCTACACACACCCACACAGAGAAATATCCAAACTCTAACGCTGAACAAAAAAAGCGAGTTGCAAGGCCAGTTAGCTCAGTTGGTCAGGCTGTGCTCATACACTAACATCTGGGGTTCAATCCTTCTACCAGCAAAAAAAAAAAAAAACGCAAGTTGCAGAGGACATGTTCACAGTGACATCATTTATATGAACTTTAAGATGGCACTGGTCCGGTACGGGCGCGACACTGAGGGTTGCGGTCTGTTGCCGGACACGAAAAAAAGACAAAAAAAAAAAAGGAAAAAAAAAAAAGATGGCAGTGGTCAGCCCAGGCTGGCCGTGAGAACCACCCAGGGAGCTTCCAAAGTTCTGCGGCCAGCCCCATACCAGATCAAATAAGTCCAAATCCTCATCTCTATGGTGGGCCCGGACAAAATCATTTTTTAAATCTTTCCAGGTGATTCCAATGTGTAGCCAGGGTTGAGAACTACTGCTCTATTATTTGTGAATATGTTCAAGGGTAGTAAAAGTATGAAAAGCTGCAGAAGAATGCTGACCATCAAATCCAGTAGAGCAGCCACCACTAGGAAGGAGGGAGGGAGGCGAGTGGGGAGAAGACCCTCAGCCTTTCACGGTATCAACAAGTTCTGTGTTCTGTTATAAAGAAAGCTTAGTTTGAAATGTATTATAAGGAACAAAACTGGCAAATAAGAGATCACTTGTCCGAGGTCCCACTGCTGGTGAGTGACAAGGCAGAGACCTGAATACGGGTCTCCGACGCCCAAGTCCCATCCCTCCTTATCTGTGCCAAGCCCCAAGATGCGGAGAGAGCTGGCACCGCCAGGTTTGGAGGCTGGGCCGGCCTCACAGGACTGCCTGGCAGTGTGCCTGCTCCCTGACCCTGCCAGAGCCAGTGGGGGTGGGGCGGCAGCCAGAGAAAGCCAGGAGCAGGTGGAGAGAGGGTTCTTCATCTCTGAGGCCCTCTCCAGTAGCGGTGGTGGTAGTGGTGGTACCCAGCAGCAGAGGACTAATGTTTACATAACACCTACTGTATGCCCGGCCTTGGGCCAAGCACTCTACATTCCGCATCCTCATAGCAATTCTAGGAGGCAGCCATTATCACTATGCCCATTTTGCAGAGGAGGAAACTGAGACACTCCCACAGCCTGTGAGTGTGAACTGGGGGAGCTGGGGTATGAAGCAGGCATCCTTGCGCCAGCACCTGCTCTCTGAACCACCCCCAGTACCATTCACAGAGCTCCACATTTACAGGCAGCTCCTCATCCCTCCCCTGTTCCCACTGCCCCTCCCAGGCTGAGCCCCCTCAGGATCTTGCCCTGACCCTACACAAGCCACTTGGCGCCTCCAAGCCCCAACCCTGCACCCATCCCCTGACCTCCACTCATGCCCTGCACACACTGGCTCGTTCTGCCTGGTGCACCCTTTCCCGTCCCTCCTACTTACCCTTCACAGCTTCCCCAGGGGACTTTCCCAAGGACACAGGCCCCAGCCCTGGCTCAGAGAATGGGACCTCTTCACTCTCTGAACATGTCGTTGCAGGCTATATCACCCACAGTTTGTGGAGATATAGCCATGTGTCACTGGCTAGGGGCTGTCCCACAGTGCTCCCACCGGGAGACACTGAGAGCCCTGTGAGGTTAGAGTCTCTGTGGGTCTTGTCCCCTGCTGCAGTCCCAGCACCCAGCGCAGTGCCCAACAGTCCGCTCCCAAACAGAGCACCCTTTGCAGGCCAGGCAGTGCTTCAGATGGGGATTGAGGGAAGGAACACCACGGAGCAATCCCTGCCTTGTGGAACCCGCATTCTAGCAGGGGAGGCAGACAACAAACAGGGCCCTAATAAATAAGGTAAGGACAGAGAGAGGGGCTGGGATGAGAAAGAACAGTGAGATAAGGAGAGCCTGAGGGCAGTGAGAGCTATGGTGGGCCTGGTAGACCTGAGAGAGAGTGACAGGGTCAGTGAGAGGGGCAGGGTGGGGAAAGGATTCCAGGAGCAGGGAACAGGAAGATCACAGACCTGCAGGGAGGTAGAAGAACAGGCTGGGGAGCAATGGGGGGTGCAGTAGGAAAGGAGGTGGGAGCAACTGAAGACCACAGTGAGAGGTTGGGCTGTTAAGCACAGAGAACACCCAACTTTGCCCAGGGTACCACTCACGGACACCCTCCCCAGCCAGAAGCCCATCAGACTCACTCAGACTCTAGGCCCCCACAAACAACCCACTCCCATAAGCCCATGGGAACTTCCCCTCCCAGATCACATCCTTCCAAGGAGGCCAAGCAGATAGTTCCTTTCCTGCCCAGGGAGTGGCCTGGCCTCGCCCAGCCCCCTGCTTCCAGGAACAGACCTCCAGGCAATGGACAATGTGGCAACTAAGAGCAGGAGCTCTGGAATCATCCAGTCCCAATCTGTCTCTGCTCTTAGCTTTCTGAGGCTCACTTTTTCTGTCTGTAAAATGGGTTTATCTCTAGTACTCATTTTACTAGACTGTGGTGGGGATGAAGTGACATCGGGCACACAGATCACTAAGCATAGTGTGAACCCTCATTAAACATTAACCAACATTATGATTATATGAGAGGTAGTAGGCCAGAACTCCCCAGGTGGAATACCAGCCCCACAACTTATTCATTAGGTGACCCCACACGTTGTAGGGGGAACTAAATGAGTTGTGTAAAGTTACGCAAAACGTTGAGAAAAGGGTCTAGCACACAGTGACCTGTGAGTGTCTGCTGCTATTACCATTATTTGCAGGAGGTGGCTCCCATTCTCCCACCACCTGGAAGCACCCCGACCTCTCTCCTGGATGTTCCTGCCCCTCCTTCCCAGCAATATGTCCCAACTGGGTTTTAACTACTGACCCTCCCGAACATCTGTACCAGTGTCAGACTGTGACCTTTGGACCCTCCAGCCACGCCCCTCCTCCGAGCCTCTAAAACGCTACCCCCATCCCAAAACTCATTAATCTGTCCCGTCGGTCGTGGCCTTAAACCTCCAACCAGCCGCCCCCAAGGATGTGACCTCTACCCCTCGTAGGCGTGCCCTCCCCTCAAATTATTACCTTTGGCCTCTCCTTTTTGAGAATCGCCCCATCCCCTCGAGCGCTCCCCCACTTCAGATATAAAACTTTGTAGTCCCCCCGCCACGCCCCCTTAGCTAGCTCGACCTCCGATATCCTCACCTCCCGCCCCCCGCTCAGCGTTGACCTCCGACCCCTTCGACACGACCCTTCCCTCCACAAGTGAACTTTGACCCCGGCGGCCCCGCCCCCTCCTCGCGAAAACGCTCTCCCACCGCCAGCGCCCAGCCCACCCCAAGCCCGGGCCAGACCGCCTATCCTACCGGTTCGGCGCCGCCGTCGCTCGTGGCCTAGCTGCTTGGTCTGGAACTCCGCGCCCTCGCGCCGCCTTCAGCGCTCCTGCGCCGCCGCCACCGCGGCCACTGCCGCCGCCATGTTGGATCCCCAACAAACATCCGGGGCTTTCCCCCCTCGCCGCCCACCAGTCCCCATAGCAACGGGGCTGACCGGACGGTGGGCAGGGTCTGCGCAGGGGTGGAGCTGAACTCCTGGTAGCGCCCGCTCCAGCCTCCGATTGGTGCAGATTGTCCAATCGGAGACCTTTGGGCAGAAAATGCCAAGCGGGGATTGGAAAATTTGGAAAAGGTGCGGGGAGGCTGGCTCGTGGCCCACTCAGGTTCTTAAAGGGAAAGGACTGCTTTCTCATAACACGGATTCCCACCTTGTCCGGAAAAGAGTTGAGTGGTGGAAGACACTAATGGGTTAATAGTGGCCAGGAACGGTTTTTAAGCACTTGAACTACTTGCCAGGCAGCCGGCTAAGTGCTTTACTTATATTATCTCGCTGAATATTCACCACAACCTTGTTGTATTATTAATACCCATTTTACAGATAAAGAGACTAAGGCTAAGAGGGAGAACTAGCGGCTTAGAATCACAGGAAGTAGGTAATGAGTTTCGCACGAAGGTCTGACTAAGCCAGGAAATTTGACAATACTTGAGCTTAATCTTTTTTTTTTTAAAGATGACCGGTAAGGGGATCTTAACCCTTGACTTGGTGTGTCAGCACCACGCCCACCCAGTGAGCAACCGGCCATCCCTATATGGGATCCGAACTCGTGGCCTTGGTGTTATCAGCACCGCACTCTCCCGAGTGAGCCACGGGCAGGCCCGAGCTTAATCTTTTTTATAAGTTTTTTTAAAGTAGTAAAAAATTGGAAAATACAAAAAACACCATAAACTAAACTCGGGCACGATCTTACTCACTGGGCTCCAGCCTTTCTGCTTTTCCTGAAAAATATCAGGTGCTCTCTCACCTCAGGGTCTTTGCATTGGCTTTTCCT